GCCTTTTTCTCTTTTTTTTTTTTTTTTTTTTTTTTTTTCTTCCCTCAGCACACCAGGGAATGATTATTCTCCCATTAAGGGCTATTTTGGCTGGTTTATATGTGCACCATATGGGCAAAACTCCTCACTGTGCCCTGCGGGTATTCAGTGAGATGGATCGATTGTCACCACATTTAAGCAATGTGCTCAAAAATGCAGCGGACTAAAATACTTCTAAGTTGTGCATCTGCGGGGAGTGGCGGGTTAGGGCAGTGCCTTTGTAGAAGCTGTGGATTTGAATGAGGTAAAGAGAGACTGTCAGGATTTATTGTTTTCTCCAGTGAAAGAAAAGCTGTTAGCCTCTTAAGGCCTCTGTGTTATGGAACAAGCTGCAGGAGTAATGTGGGAAAGAGGGCACTGACAGAAGGGCTGTTTGTCAGGGGGTATTTTATGTTAGGGGACACAGGGTAAAAGAGAGGTCATGCAAGATAAACATGGCACCAGTGCTGCAATAGTAAAGACTCTGTCTCAGTCAGCTTGTAGGATCCTGAACTTCTGCCTGCAATGCCAGGTTGATTTTTTTTTTTCTTTTTCTTTTCTGAACATAAACATCTTCCTGATGGTCTTAAAGAAACTCACACCACTGTGTCTGAGTAGAGACATCCTAGGTGGCTTATCTGATGCTTCCAGATTCCTGTGGACTTTCTTGGGGCATTTGGAATGAATGCAGATTGATGTGGTAGGTCTTAGAGAGAGTTAGAGAGAGTGAGAGAGAGAGATGCAGCAAGATTATTTTTAGCTTCTCCTTTTCAACTTGTTCCGCATGAGGAATAATAAATTGTGGTGTTAATTGTTGCACAAAAGGCTGATTAAGTTCTTTTTCGGATTCAGATTTTGGATCCAAACTTTACTTCATCAGTAGTGTGCATAGCAACTGGTGGATGGGCTTTTTTTGAAGATGCCACTTTTAAAAGGATTTAAGGATCTAAGGATTTAAATGCAAATCCGGTCCATTAATTGGCTTTCAGTAGAGCTTTTCTTCTTTTTTTTTTTTTTTTTTTTGGGGGGGGGGGGGGTAAAATAAAATATCCATCTTTTTGACTTGTCTGTGCCTCTCTAACAGTTCCTGAAGGCACAGACAAAGTGGCATGTAGCAGAAGTCTTGCTTCCTCTGTAGACTTGCTTGTTTGATTGGTTTCACTTTTCATAACCTTGGCAAGCTGACAATGGTGCTCATCACCCTTGAGAACCCTTTTACTTTAAATTGTCAGGTCTTGGGTTAAGGCATACGTTTGTGTGTGTTAAGACATTTATGGTGATGACTATATATACATTTCCTCTTTATTTGCATGATAGATGTGTCTTGGGCAGCACCTATCCCCACTAATCATCTGTTTGTTGTTTTGAAGAAAGGAGTTCAGGCTTTGACTGCCTGGATCAGTTTAATGCCTAGTGATTAGTGAAACAAGGAAGTATATCAGCCCATCTGAAGAAGTGATCCATTTCAGATCTGTGTTTTAATAGCAATCAGATTGGCTCTCGTAGCATCTGTTTTCAATTAAGTTGCAAGTTGCAGATTCCCATGCAGGAGGTTCGTGCTCTGGGTAATGCAGTCATCAGCTGTGGGAACCAAATGCTCTCCATTTGGGTGAAAGTGCATCTTGTTCATGCACAGGTGGCTAGCTTGACATTAATGTTAGCCTGTATGCAGTGTTTTCTTAAGGATCTGAAATTTGGCTGTGCCCCCTTCATAGAAAAACAAAGATTTGGAATTGGCATCCCAGCAAACAGGAAGTGTTAATTAATGAGTTGTGATTGTTGAAGTCTATCTAGATGTGGGTTACATTGCTTTACCATGTCTTGTTAGACATCTTCACATGTTTCACTTTCTCCACTCAAATCATGTTCTAACACTTAAAGAGATCCTTTGATAAGACATTGGAAAAACATTCTTAATGCCCAGGTGTATACGGTTTATCTAAATTATGAACCCATTATTATTATTCATATTCTAGACTCTCACTGACCATGGACAGATAAGCATAGTTTGGCCAGGCCATTAAGTGCGGTTCGCTGGTATTATTAGAGGATTTTATTAGTTCACTGAGACATTCAAACCCGGCCCCACAACATGAATACTGCTTCTGCTGGTTATGCGGCCTAACCCACCACTTGAGAATCAATTGGCCAAGCTAAGTAAAAGGCTGTTTGAGGAGGCTTCATTCTTGAAGAGTGCTGCATTGACTGAGCAGAAATCAGCATGTCTTACAGCATTCATTATCCATTTTGCTCTCAACGATCCAGTTATTTTTCTACCTTTTACTTGTACTTTACTTGAGTCTAGGCTGAAGCTGCAGGGAAGCAGTACTCTTAGTGCTCTAGTCCAGCTCTGTGACTTTTCTGCTTGCATTCCTGTATGCTTTAATTGGTGAAGCCTCTGGCAGCGGACTCGGGTTGGCCTCGGCTGGTCTGGCTGTCAGATTGGTGCAGTGGCCAGCAAATGCGTGAAGAACAATGCCCATCCTAATTCCTGAAGAATTCCTGCTCTTGTGATGCTGCTGACCCAAGACTGTGATGCTTAAAAGGCCGGAGGATCATCAGGAATCACAGTCTTCCATGTTAATTTGCTGTAAGGAGCCAGATAGGCAGAGATACGAGAAAGTGGCAGCACAGGGGCACCAAGGGACACGCCTCATCATTAGCAACACTGTATCTTGGCACGAGGGATTAGAAAAATACATGGTACCAGGGGTGAACCTGTAATCTCGCTGGATGGTTATGTGGATAATGAGACTTGTTTTGACGTGGCTTGGGTTTATTTGTACTTAACAAAACAAATTTATATATACAAACAGGTTTCTATAAAATGTATATTCTCATTCTTTGTTAATTTTATGTATTTTGCATTAGTGACTGTTCTTTTCTTTTCACGATGCATAGGTGGCATCTACATGTATATCTTCAACAGCAGTCACAGTGGTTCTCAAATCCTTCAACATTTATTTGTCACTGCTAAAACTCTTGAGTGTGTATAGTTAGACTGTCTTTTTAACCCCTCATACCCTTTCTCTACTGAGCAGGAAAGCATATCACAGTCACCACTACATTAGCCTGTACATTACCAAGTGTCTGGCATGAGCCAACACAGAACAATGAAATGGGTATGGGAAGAATTTCTCTCTTCTCTATGACATGATTAGTCTACATTTGGTGAGCCAGGCCAGTGGCTAAACAGCAATTATGTGACAAAAGAATAACTTAAAGTAAAGAAACCAAAGCTGTTTTTTTTTTAAATAAGAGCTTGTGAAGATGATAAACATTGCCATGCTGTAAGTCTTGCCATAAAGTGCCTGGATTCAGTGCGACCCTTTGTTTTCTTATGTCGACTCCATAGGACTGAGGGCCATGCCAGAGGGGTCCCATTTTGCTCTCCACCAGGGCCCAATGGGGGAAGGTAAGATCAATGCTGTTTTATTTGGTATGGCCCATGTGTTGGCATTTGCTGCCTATTAATTGGCCAGTCTAAAAATAAGGAATTGTAGTGAGTTGGTTGATTCTTACTTGTGTATCTGGTTACCCAGGACAGTGTACTAAAATAACAGAGAGGTACAGCAGAAAAATGCTAGAGATAGCAGAATAGAGGAACTGTAGAGAGGCAGAGCTGAGAGAGCAATGAACTCTCCTCCTACCTACAGGCTCGGCTGGCAGAGAGGCTCTTTGTGTGGCTGTGGAGCTCAGCCAAACCCCTTCGTACAGCTGAAACCCCTGAACACTCACACATCAAACTAGAAAGTGTCAGCATCATCAAAAAGCCAAAATGCCAGCAGTGCTGACCTTATATGGCTGGAGAGGGGCACTCAAATTACATATTATTTTTGTGTTTATTATGTTCAGTCACAGAGCTATGACACTGACACAGGGCCTCTTTGTATCTGCTTGCCTGCTCTGTCCCTCAACCCCCACAACTGCCCCCACATCTCTCCTCTCCTCTCTACTGAACGCATTTTGTGTCGGGCTTCCACTTTGGCTGAAGAATACCGATATGTCAATGGTGCCTTTTTTCCCTCTACGCCTGCCTCTTTGGTTTAGCTTAGGCCAGAGCAGGCTTCTGGCTCAGAATGACATGCACCGCCCTCATAAAAATGTCTATTTCCTGAAAAAGGCCACTCTGCACTGACTACACATTCTGACTCTATTACGAAATCACCTTAGCATGAGAGAACTCCCACTGGCAGCTGAAATGTTTTCAGACTAATTTTGTTTGTGAACCTGTTAAAGTGTGACTGACATGGCTCTCCTGCTGTGGATGGGTGGATGTAATAAAGGAGCAGGGCTGCTGGTAATGTGTTTGTGTAAGGTGATGATTGGATCTGGTTAATAGGCAGGAGGAATGCACATGGTGAAAGGAAGCCCCTTGTCTGGTCAAGGTAAACAATAAAAACCCTGTGGTCATCCAGCAACAATTCCCCTGAAGGGTCAGTGGGTATGAAGTGAAAAGGAGCCGTGTGCATTATTTTACCACTAGGAGGTTTAGGATGGCATCATGCATTATCAGATAAAACCAGTATAAAGGAAAATATTTCACTTCTGCTACAAGGTATACCTAAATGTTTTTTTATCTTCAGCTGTTGAAAGTATTTTTTTTTCCATTGTTCTGTGTGTTAAATTATTTTCCCAGGCTAATGGGATGAGGGTTCCCCTCATAAAATGTAATGTGAACCAGCATGATTGTAATCCCATGTGAAATATCTGATATATGTGGAAGCTGTCAGCGACAGTGGCCCATCCAGGCACCAGTAGACCTGAGGCAGCACTCTCAAAGATAAGGGTTCCCTCTGACCTACTTAGCCCCAGGCAGGAATGTAGCTGTGTGTGCAGAATGTACAGCTCTAAAGGGGTTCTGAGGGGATGGATGGATCATCTCCTTTCTCTGCAGCTTTTCCAGACCAGTGGGCATAGGTTGTGGACATAGATGATGGCAGGGGTGGCTGCCTCTCTGTGTGCACTTGTTAACGGAGCTCCTGGAGTGGAACTCTTTCTCTGCTTAATTGCCTGTAGCATTAATCACAGGCAGCCCCAGGTGAGCCTGCGGCAGCTCCTGTTCAACAGAGTTTTGAAGTCAGACACTCATTGAAATGGCCAACAGCCCCTTAGCCTCATAGCATATTACCAGTGTTGTCATTACTAAGATTCACTGTATTTAATTGCATTGTTAGGCCCAGACACTGGTACTTTTACACAAAAGAATTTGTCAATCTAAATTATTTTATAGCCTCCCACAGTTGCCTTCCTCCTGTAGAGCTCTTCTGTTAGATTACCCATATTAGTTACAGGCTCTCTACTTTGGCTGTCCCTGTTGCATGGCTTCTTTGAAATTCAAGTGAATCTATAAAGTTCTTTATCAGCCTTCTCCATAACACTTAACAGTCAGATTTCTCTTTTCAAGCAAGCATGCAGTGCATTAGGACATTTAGTGTCACTGTAGCTGTGATGCTAAACACAATAATGGTTTAGTAATGTTGATTATATGTTTTTGTAAAAGATGGTTTTTGTAATAAATGATGTTTGTTATTTATTATAGAATGAAACATCTGTTCTGTCTTTAGTAATGTGTACAAAAGACAGACAAGGCTGTGATATAATATGTTTTATTGAAGTGCCTTTCTAGAGACCCAAGGTCATTTTACAATACAATAATGCCAATTTCGATATAGTAAAGACAAAACAATAGAAATAAATGAAACAATGAGCAATAAAATAAACTAAGTAAATAAGTCACTAATAAACAAAATAACGAGCAACCAGGCAAAGATATCAGTTAAAAGCAGATTTAAAAAGCTATGTCTTTAAAGTCCCCAAGTGAGCTCATGACCCTTAAATTGTTAGGGAGTTTCTTCCAGTGCTTATTGGCAGCACAGACAAATGCTCTATCATCCACAGTGACTGGTCTAGCATCCGGGGGCGCAAGAGGTGCAGCAGATGAAGAATGCAAAGTCCGAGGTGGAATATAGGAAACCAGATCAGTCAAGTATGTGGGAGCCAAGCAATGTCATGCTTTAAAAGTTAAGAGTATAATCTTGTACTGAATACAAAAACAACTGGTAGCCAGTGCAACTCTTTCAAAAGTGGTGTAACATGTTCATGTGATCTAGACTGCAGCTTGTTGTGAAGTAAATGAAGTATTGCTCCCCCAGTCACACTTCACACACTGTCCTGTCACCAGCCCATGTGGACTCTGCAGAGAGGTGCTAACAGGACAGCAGTTTGGTTAGACTCACACCCCTGGGACGAGATGGTGTGTATTCTACAGAGGAAATGTGAGTTTTGAATAGATCCAGGGTTGGCTTTGTTGCTAGTGCCTAAAGAGCTCTTGAGGGGAGCTTGTTGATGGAGGAGTCTCCTAAGTGGATTATCATATGCTTACACACTGAAGTCAGCTGGCACAGCTGGATCCTTCGAGAGCTAGGGCTGAGCACAAAGGAGGTTCACAGGATTAAACTTGCTTTTTGAGGGGATTTGTCTTTTTGGTACTTTGAGAATCTGACTTCTCTGAAATTTGTCACTCTATATTTTGCACATCCTCCATTCTGTAGCACATCCACAGGTCCAGTGCTAAGTTTCAGGAATCTAAAAGTTTACCAAGGTGTTTTGATATGGGGAGGCGACAGTGGTGCGGTGGGTAGAGCAGTCGTCTCCCAACCAGAAGGTTGAAGGTTCAAATCTCGGTAAATGGTCTTATACTTGTAGAGCGCCTTTCTACGCTTTTACAGCGCACTCAAAGCGCTTTCACATTATTTGGCCATTCACCCATTCGCACTCCCAAGCACTCACACACCGGTGACATCACCGGGAGCAACTGGGGGTTCAGTGTCTTGCTCAAGGACACGAAACAAATTTCTTGTAACATACTTGGCCAATAAAGGTGCTTATCCTTATCCTTGATATTTAACTATACTTGTGAATGAGTGAAAGTCGTGGACTACACACAGTTAGTTTCACTTTTAATCATCAGAATTCCCCAAAATGTCCCGGCACAACATTTTGACCTTGACTATCAGTCTGGAATGCAGGTTCAGTTTGTATGTGTGTATACTCAGCCTTAGCTGTCACTGCAGTCTATTTACTGACCTTCAGGTTAATAATTAATACAACATTAAAAATCCGCGTGAGGCCAGACTCAGGTGTGAGTCAACTCGCCTTTAACATACCGTATAAAGGACTGTTTAAACCAGGAAATCTTTAAAGTGACCTAAATTCTTCCCTAAAGGGGAAAGAAACTATGGCCATCAGTCTCTGTGTCTAATCACCAGCGTTCTTCTGATTCATGTTGTTTGATAATGATCTGTGAAGACTTGTGGCCTCCTCAGAGGCACCCTTATGCTTGTGTTTCCTGGCCTTCTGAGGGGTGGCCATTCACCTTTGCCAGGTGGGGAGGAGTTTTTCCCCAAGGGGATCAGTGCAAGGCTGCCTCCCTGTCTCCTGAAAGCTGCCGGGGGTGGAGCTGAGTGTCAGAGGTTGTGGAAGGGTGTTGAAGAAGGAAGTTCAGAGTGGATATTGAGGGGCGGAAGGACTTTATTAAGATGTAGTGCAGAACATGTACCCCTAAAGGAAAATGGGGTGAGACCCTGTGCCCTTGGCTTTGAAAGAGTGAAAACAAATCAGCTAATTAGGAACTAGGATTTTCCACCTTGTTACATGCTCTAATGTGGGAAGTGAAAGTAATCTTGAATAACTTTTTTAAAACTGTTCTCATCACATCAATATGCATCTAAAACCTCTTATTTGAAAAGGCAGTTGTACATGCTGAACAGACTGGATGTATAAGGGCTGTTTATTTCAGAATCAGCTTTACTGGCCAGGCGTGTTGGACACGAGGAATTTGACTCTGGTACAGCGGCTCTCAATGTGCATGTACGTATCCCCATTCAAGGCAAAAGCAAGGGGAAGCAAATATTTATTTATTTTACAGTAATGGTGAATTGTGGGAACATCAAATAATTCCATACATTAGGAGCAGTGCCATAGAGTTGCATTGACTTGGCTGCTATCTTCTAAAGTAAGATGTTGAAATCAATAGCAATAATTATACTTGTGACATTTTAAGTTCGCAGTATATTTCAAAATACAATTTTACAACCTTTTGACTCTCTCTCAAATATCACTTTAATAGATTAGGTACCTAGCTAACTAAATTAACTGAGCTTTCTACAACAACAGAGCACAGAATTTGTTTGCAAATCAGCTTAAATAGCAAAGTTAAATTTAACTTTAAGAAAAACAAAGGGGTAGTAGTTCAGGTTAGGGATCAGTGCTTAGTCATTTAGGCACATTTACAGCTCATTCAGGCTTCTTTTAGCCTGCTAATTGGTGGACTGAATTGCTGCCCTTCCCCACACAGTGAACACAGTTTAGGAGTTCCAGTCATATGAGAGCATATTCACTGAGAAATACTAG